ATGTGTGTGTGTGTGTATGTGTGTGTAGTGTGTGTGTGTGTGTGCATGTATATATATATATATATATATATGTGTGTGTGTGTGTGTGTGTGTGTTTGCATATATATATATGGCTTTTACCTGTCTTTGTGTTCCAAATCCGTGTGTATTATATTTGCTATTGAAGTATCGCGCATATCCCATCAAACTAGGAATGCCTCGCCAAGATGAAACAGCAGGACCCCAGAGACAAGCACCACTGCGTGCTTATGCTGGATGACTTCTACCACCGAAACCATCTGTGCATAGTTTTTGAAGGCTTGAGCATGAATCTGCGAGAGGTATGACTTCACATCTGTTGAGAATATGATGGATCTGGGATTTTTACATCATGTTTGTAGGGTTTAAGAATTGATTGAGTGTACTTTTTATAAACCGTGTATGGCCAGGGTGAATATGATGTATAGGGGATGTATACATCATGTTTGTAGAGTTTAGGGATTGGTTGAGCCTACTTTTCATAAACCGTGTATGGCCAGGGTGTGACCCGTCTGAGATAACATGTAAAGTATATACTGACGTCGAAACTATTAAAACTGACATCGTGTGCTGTATGGTTTCCATCTGCAATCGTATGTGGTTGACCCCTTATTGATATTCTGAAGCAACAACTTCATTAACCAATGTACTTCGTTACTCAATGTCCAGTTCAGTTTACGTCTACCAGTTCGTGTAGAACCTGCGCATTTGAAGCAAGGGAGGTCCACACATGAGATTTACGTATTCTATGAATCATGCCACACAGTATTGGGGCGTGATGCTAGGGCCGCTCCTGACATTCTCCGTTCTATGTATGAATCTCTCTGTTTCGTCTTCAATTGTAGGTACTGCGTAAGTACGGTAAAGGCGTAGGGCTACACATACGCGCGGTGAAGTCCTATACACAGCAGCTGCTGATGTCCCTGCGGCTGCTCGAGAAATGCGGTCTAATCCACGCCGATCTCAAGCCTGATAATATTCTTGCCAATGAGAGCAAGGTGTGTATCTATTGGCAGGGTTTGCACACCCGTCTGCTGTTGTGAGGGTAGTTACCGACAGTGTAGATCCATTTGTGCTCTCATTTTATCCAGGGGCATGTCTAAACCGGGGTTGATATGATTTGATCTATCTTGTAACATCGATCCTATTCAATCTGGGAGTAGTCCCCCAAAAGCATTGATGCAGTGTGTCTTTCTAATATTTCTGTATGTATTTAAGCTACATTGGGCTGTTTGTACGGGGAGCGTAGCTACGACATCCCGATCTTGTATCCATCAACAACTTCCTCTTTGAAATTGAAATGCAGTATGTGCGTATACTCAATATGGATGTGCAGGTTAACGATATTACCATATATGTATTGATTCAATTTCCATAGTTGTCCGTTTCTTTCTCCAATTCAAATGTTTTTCCTTTGCCTGGGCGGGAATAGCCTATTGTATCAGTGTGCCACTGTATATTGGCTTGTCCACGTTAGTGTGATGTCAGTTTTGTACAAGATATATTAAATGTATGTATATATATAAATATACATATATATATATATATATATACATATGTGTGTGTGTGTATGTGTGTGTGTTTGTGTATGTTTATATATATATATATAAAATATATATATAAATACATATATATATGATTGTGTGTGTGACTAAGAGAGAGTGTGTGCGTGTGTAAGCGTGAGCGTGTGTGTATGTGTGTGTATGTGTATGTACGTGTGCCATATATATATATATG